GGGCTGTAGCACCCGCAAGGTTAAAAAAAAAAAAAAAAAAAATGGGGGGACATTAAGAGCATCATTAAACCGATGACCTCAAATATAAGCTGGGGGCTAGGTTTTTTTTATTAACACTAGAGGGCTTTAACTACAGACTCCACCGAGCACATCATGCACACTGCTGCATATTGGCTCTGTACTGCATTAAGACTGATTATGAACACAATCCTAGTTAAGTATACGCACACAAACTATTTTATGTCATTTAAAGCAGGACAAAACCAGACGTCTGGTCAATAAACAATCCAGAAAATACCTCTAATTTCAAAATGAAACTGTTTATAGTTCCTATGGAAGCTGTGGGTGGAGGAGCGCCACAGTTACATGTCTTAACTGAAAAGGCTTCCTCTGCGGGTATTTCCGGAAAATGGTGGAAAACCGTCACTCACTCTCAACAGGGTGGAAGTGGTGTTTAGTCAGCTGCTTGTTTCACCCATGGGAGAAACCTAAAGCTTGCCCCTCTTCCAAATGAAAGCTAAAAACAACAAACAACATAAAGAGAAAAAGACCAACTATCCGATAAGCAGGTTTTGGTCAGGGTACAGCTACAGCTGTAGAAGAGACGTGGGATGAAAATGTTTTAAGATAAATTACAATGTGTTAGCACAGCTGATGCTGCCCCCCTCCCTGTTACCCTGTGTTAAAAGCAAGATCACATCTGGCAATTTGAGCTGCGACATCTGTAAGCTTTTTAAAAGTAAACTTTTAAATGTAGGGTCAATTTACATCTGAAAAAGAATTAATCTTGTCCTGGTCATGTGGCAGAAAATGACAAAAACTAGTCTGTTCATTCTTCAAATGCATAAAACCAAACTGTATAAAAAGCCAAGCTGAGCCATTTTCCACTTTGTTTCAGCAATGAGCAGGTCATCCATAAAGAATTTCCTCAAGAGGAAAGCCCACAGATGAGGGCCCATCTCTCCAGCCTTGTGAAGCAGTCTCTGTATGAGTAACGATGATTGATGGCACCACAAGGAGTGAGGACTACACATTTCTGAGGAGGTTAGTCCTCCACAAAACCAAGCACCAGCGCCTGGTACCAACATATCCACTGACCTCTGTTGACCTCCCTCCCTCCCTTCACCACTCACAATAAATCCTGCAAAGACATCCAAAGTGATCCATAAAAGAAACTAATGGTAAACCAACATGCAATAACAAATTGAATCAAACCAGGAGAGTCAGCGGTTTTGGTGGCACGAGGTAAAATGTCCAAACCTTAAAACTTTCAATTCATTATAATGTTTTACAAATCAATTATCATAATATTTAATTTTTTCCTAATAACTGTAGCTATAAAAACCATGCTAACTCCACAACTAAATCTGGCTTGGTAGCAAACTGTATGATTAGTACCTTGATCATCAACTAAAAACTACAATTGAATTCTTATACCTGCTTGTTTCACTGTTTAAAGAGAAAAATGACAATTTTTCACATGTGAGAATCTGAGACTTGAGGAATGACTCAACATGGACGTATGTAAAATCCAACATCCAGTCAAACACCCTGCCTTTATTTACATTTCTCCCTGAGAGATGGTCCAGTGGACTTGTAGTGTGTGTCACTGGGAGGTCAGATTGTTTCACAGAAATGACATTCCAGGTTTTACACTACTGCTTTATTTCTTACTGCAACAGCAGCCACACTGAGACACCACACAAACAACCCTTTGTCATTCAGAGACTCACATGGTAGCACCACAACATTGATCCAAGTTATAGCAGTTTTCCCACGTGGTCCCAACTACGTCATGGCCAGAAATCACACTAGAGGAAAATAACAGAGAGTAGGCTGGAAGAACTGAGTAAGGGATTTCAGCAAGCCAAGAAAAACTGCCTCTCTTTGCTTCTGTTATCAAGGTTTAAGCACGAGAGCAGCCCTTTGATTTCTTAGTCATATTAAGGGTATTACTGCAGAGTTACTGGAGTAGACTTAGACACAAAAGATAATTAAAACACTCCAAGGTTCTACATGCAGTGAATGAAGCCATAAACAAGTTTGAAACAGAAGCATCCCCACACTCAGGAAGACCTTCACTTGGCCTCGTCAGGAAGCATTTCCTGACACACTCCGGAGAAATGTCTTCCTCTTACTCCCTTACTCACAAACTGCCATTTTCCAGTAATCCCAGTACTGTCTGCACTAACATCCCTAAGTTTCTTCAGTGTAGGGAGGAATATAAACAGCTTACTGGGTCATTAATTATGTTCCTGTGAGACAACTGTTTAAGATTGAATTCAATTATCAGAAGTATGTAAACCTAAACAATATATCATCTAACTTAAGTGACACCTCATTTAAGTCAACAGGAGGTGTACCTGTGGATGTACTTTAAGGCCTACCTTCAAACACAGTACCACTTTGTTTGACATCATGAGTCCTCACTCCTTTCAAAAGAAATCAGCCAAGACCTTAGAAGGAAAAACTTTGGACCTCCTCGAGTCTGGTTCATCCTTGGGAGTAATTTTACACTGTTGCCACAACACCACTCGACATGTATGTTTGTTTTCATCTAAAGGTTGCTGATGTGGGCAGAGTGTTGATTAAAGTCTCTCAAGGACATTGGCATAGCAAATTTCACTCATCACTAATAAGAATCAGAAAGCAAACATAAGAATACCAACAAAGAAAAATGTTTGTAAACAATGTTTTGACAGACTCTCAAATAAAGAAGCTGAAATTGAGAAAATAAAAATCCTAGATTCCTGAAGAAAAGCTTTTAGGTATTGGCCCATTTTAGCTGAACTACTTAACTAACTCTCATAATTTCAAAACAACTATAAGTTTTCACATTTTTTTAACAAATATTTGAGAATCATGGCAGTTTATAAAATCCTAGCATATTTTATATTCTTATAAACAATTGACCAAAAAGTGGCCCATTTTAGCTGACCCTAAATGGCCTTAGTTACTTTCCACCACTGCTTAGAACAAATAAAGAAAAAGTGGAATTAATTTGTGTTAACTATGGACAATCATGGGATTAAATATTTTAATCGATTGAAGGCACTTTAGAAATAAATATATCACGGTCAAAGATATTATCTGTCGAAATGTCTAAGGGGGAAAAACACAAATAACTGAACAATGAAAGAAGTTACCAGAAATGATGTAAATACTATAAATAACCAGTGAAATAAGCAACATATGTAATACTCAAAACATGTGAACAAAACTATCAACTCTGTTGGTAACGTTACATTAGCTAACACAAACATTTCATATTTAGCTACATTAAGTCTAATTAAAAGCAGTAAAACTAGAAAACTTGCGTTTCTTGACCAGAACCTTGACATTAGTAATGTTAAGCTAGCAGTGCGTTGAAGCGTGGAGTTGGCCAAACAAATCGTTAAAACGATAACTCTGATTTGAAAAGATTCATTCAAACTTCGGCGAACTTACATTTTTCGACCAAAAGATATTAGAAAAAGGCTCTTTCCGTCTCCAGTAGTCTTACTCCAATAAAGTTAAACACTTTTCAGTGGACCTTCATGTTTTTTAACATACCCACTGATTTCTCTCTGTGAACTCTACTTTTCATCCCAAATGAAAAGCCACACAAACCGGAAACAGCGAACAAAGTGCCGGAAGTGCGGCCTTCAAAATAAAATCGTAAATTCAGATGAAAAAAACCTCTCCTGTCGGGTCAAAGGGTAGGGCACTGCATTTCACCCAGATTCAACATAAAAATGGTGCTATCAAAGTGTAAAGGTAGTCTAAAAACTACAAAAAGGCAACACTGATAAATAAAGGGGCATTCTGCATACTTGTTGGCACTGTAAAATATATCTTCATACCAGTATTTTTATGTTTACTTAACTAACATGTTGAATGTTGTAAATTCAATTGCAAATAAATATTTTTTCATTGTGTTTCGAGGATCTGAATACCTCTTTCCCCACTTGTTAAAGTCATTAAAATGGTCAAAATTAATTTGGTCCATAAAATATTTTTTAAAATTGGACATACTATGTTATTATGGCCCGTGACCCCGTTTGGGACTAGGCGGTTTAGAAAATGGATGGATGGATGTTCTTATGGTTCCCTGATAAACTAGCTGTCAGGGTGCAGCGCTCCCGCCGCTATGGCTCGGGTTCGAGTCACGGTTGTGTCAGGAACCGTGACTCCCGTGTAAAACACATGCGAATCGTTAGTAGGACGATTTATTGTAGCGACCCCTAAAGGGAAAAGGCCGAAAGTGACATTCATTCATGTTCTTAGGTATCATATAACAGATAACACTTCAAATTTACATGTCATCCCATTTATCTTCATAGTGAAGAGTGACATTTGTTTTTGTATATTTATGTGGTTGGTTTCCTGTGCTGCTGTAACATCCAATCTTTTATGTTCTCAGTACAAACAACAAAGTATAAACAAATAAGTATATAAAATACAGCAAATGCACTAAATGAATAGTAAATACACTAAATGGGGAGCAAAAGTCTTAAAACCTAAACAGAACAGGCTGACTATGCAAACTATGTACTGTATGGTAAATTAAGTTATTAGTGTATCAACAATTAGAAACTATACAGTATTTATAGAATTGTCAAGAAAAAAAAAGATTACTTAGAGTAAGTGGTGCGCTTAGTGAGGGCAGTTCACATAGGAACTGGCTGAACTATGATATAATGTGTGGGTGGATGGCAGTTCACATTTACACCGAGTGCAGATTAAAAGCCCTATTCTTAGCGACAAAGGTCATATTCATTTCCAGACCAATTTTAAGAACCATCTGTTGTTCCTTAAAAGACAAGACAAAACAAAACAAAACTGCTCTAAGTCTCCTCATAAATATTTTTCTCAGTCAGTTATGTGGTTGATGTGGGTGTTGAGACAAACATGCAGACAGTTGTCCAGCAGGTGGGGGTATAGGTGTTCTCGTGATCTTTGCAGCACATTTGTGACTTTATTTCAGAATTGAACATGTACTGTAGACATATGTCACAGACTGTCCCTGCAGCACAAAAATAACTAAATAAAATCTGTCTCCCTGACTGAGGTTTGGACAAAACACGACAAAGTGTGGTGGTGGGTGATTTAATGATAGTATAAGCTTAAACAGCACTCACTCAGAAACAAGATGATAATAGTGCAGCACCGTATGGTGCACTGTGTACTAACACTAAATACATGCCTCCATAAATAGCAGTTCCAGACAAATCTTATCATTCTAAGAGCAGACAGCTGTGCCCTGCCCTCTCAGGCATTTCAATAAAATGTCTGACATCCTACACACTTTTACATGTATTTACTGTAGCTCCATTTAAAAATGCATTTCTCCTCCGCATATGGTCTCCTTGATTGCATTTGGTGCACACAATGTGGCTGCACAAAAGGACTGTTTGTTAAAGTATTAGTCTGCAGCTGAAGATCACCTTCACAATGAAAAGCATCAGTGTGTGGATGTGAGACAGAATCAGATGTGAGAATCAGATGATTAGCTAGGTGGACAAAGGCTAAGCAACAGTTTTATTTTTATTTTAACTATGTGTTTCCAAAACACATAAAGAGCTGAAAAATGTAATTAGGAATGCAGCAAATTGACTGTTGCCAATTCCAATAATTCAGGTCCTGATATGGATTCCTGTTTGGATTCCAGTGTTATCTTTTTTCTCAGATTCAAAGTCTGTATAACTATCAGTGTGCAGCTCATTATCATTTTAATATTAATTAATATGAGGCCAAGGATTACAACATTTTAGTGACATTGATGAAAACTCTGTTTAATGTGATTTGGTTGCATCTGGCCAGTAATGCTATATGATGAAGCCTGACTAGTTGTGATGTCAAATGGAAAGTAAATTTAAATGTCAATTCAGGCTTATATAACAGGCTAAGGGAGAGCTTAGAACATTTAAAGACATTATGTAATATTCCTTGTGAAAATCAAGTACAGTTAGCTTTGTGTGAATACATTTTTAGCTAACATAATGGGTTTTTAATTGCTATACTTAGCTTAAGAAGAAGGAAAGTTTTTACAACCCATAAAAATCCTTTAGTTTTCCTGAAAAATATCAAAATCACAGTTTTCTTTGGACAGCAACGATACACTCCATTTTATGCAGATTTATTCTAGCAGCAGCCCATTTGCCTCTGAACACATCTGTATTCTGTATGCATGGTGGAATATACCATATGCTAATAATTGATTTCACTGATGACTCTCCCGTCCCTCTGAGCCTCAGTTCGAAGGAAAAAATGTCCCTGTTCACCTCATCACATGGCAGCCACAGCAGTTAAAGCAATTCGTAATTATTTACATGCCCTCTCTGTCTTGTGTGATTTTTCAAGTACAGCACTTTTGTTGAAATCCTGAACTGCTACTGTTGATTGGAATGAAGGGAAGGGAACTGAAAGGAAATTGCCCTGGTGAACACTTCACCTCTGGAGCCAGCTGTTCAGGCTTCACAAAGACACAAAGATGTGCACAGTCTCTGGAGACAGTGACCTAAAGCACAGTGATTTTAGCGGCCAGTAGAACCCTTAACAATTGTTAAAATTTCTTTGCATTCTGGGATTGTGGTGAGACTAACATGACTTGTTGTTGCTGAAGCTGGTGGGTGAAGCGCTGGGCTAAGGGTCAAGCACTCCAATCTGTGCACATTAAAAGATTCAGAAGCATTCAGGTTATAAATATATCCAGCAGTGCAAATAGATTCATAACAGGTCCTACACCTGTTACCTGCTGGCCCTAAAAGCTGCACTGAATCCTGGACATAGTGGGTTATGTGTAAAAAAGCTGATCTCATGGTGGGCTCTTTCTTCTCTAGCTGCACCACTATTTTCAATGCACAAGGGGCAGAAAAACATCTACAGAGTCTGAAAATCAATAGCCAATCAAAATCCTCAAAACTATTTTTTCCACAATCATTTAGTTGGATAAATGTCAAGTTCACAGACACATGCACACATTTCAAGAGCACACCAAGAGTGGATTTATAGAGGACAGCAGGGGAAGGTCAGTCAGTATATGACCCTTCAGTGTGCCGTTATAGTCCGCATATGAAGGAAGTCTGATAACTACAAAAGCTCAGTGGATGTTAAAGTCTGAAAAGGGCACATCAGGACACAGAAAATTCAGATTTTACTACCTTTATAATTGTCACTTATTCCTCTGTGTAGTACAGCAGCTCTCTCTCCTTTTATACAATTTCCTATAAAATCATTTCTACTTTGCTTCTCCTTGGAGGAAAGTGGACATACAGTTGTAGCTGACAACAAGCAATTTAAAGTCACATCATCTGTTTCCTTTAAATGTCAAACAGATCCTTTTTATGTGCTGATCCAGGTAATATCTGAAATGGTCAGTATCTTATTTTAACATGTTATCATGCTAATATTTGACAGCATCAAACACATGGGAATGTCAATTAGTTCTGCAGATACTGCATTTGGTCACAAGTATGAGGGGTCACTAAAGTCTCATTATTAAAACACACTGGAAGTCGATCCACACTGAATCCCTGAGATGTGCGTCTCCTGTAGAAGCCTCGTGTTTTTAACGCTCCATGCCTCTTTTTCCTTTCTGCTGCATTAAACAAAGCATACCCTCCACAGTCAGCTGTTTAAATCACACAACTCCTGTTGTTTTCTGTTTCTACTGCAATTCGTTATGACTAATCAGGCTGTTGCTTTCACATTCTTCATCTTCATCTTCATCTTCATCTTCAAGGAGCCCAAGAAAATCAATAAAATCAATAAATCAATAGAGATTACATAAAATGCGATTTCTTCCTGATGATCTAACATGAAAACCATTTTTGTCCAGTGCCCTTGTGTTGTTGGTCGGCCTGGAATAGACCATTTGTCCTACCGCTGTCCTGCTGACAGACAGCTGTTCTGATGACTTTAAACAATCACACTTCAGTCGCGCTTATGCACTGCTTACATCTTGCTTGCAGTGTTTTCCCAGTTGGGGTTCATCATTTGGGAACTCTGAATGCCTACAGCTATACTTCAGCTGGTGAGATAATTCTCTATAGCCCTGACACATGAGGCCGTTTGCAGATAATAGGAAGATAATAGCAAGATTGATTTTGTGATGGAGTGAGAGCCACAGCTCAAAATCTTCAGATGAAAGAGTTTCTTTCAGTCTGAAGAGAATGAGGAAAGTGACCAAGCCAGAGGCAAAGCACAGCCGAAGTGACAGGATTCAAATTCTCCTTGCCATCAGGCCTACAGGATTAAATTTTGAAAGGAGAATTGATCCCTTCATTAGCCAAGACTTGGGGGAAGAGATGCTAAAATGGTTTTATTCCCACCTCCAGCTCCCTGTTGATAAAGTGCAGGAGATCATATTCTTTTAGTTCTCATGCAGCACACTCGGCAGGGTGATAATGAATGAAATGACAGGTCAGAAGCAGGGTCTCTGAGGGCCTCTGGGGGTCCTGCCTCCCCTTCCCAGTGATAGGTTCAGAGCATGCCTGCTTATGAAGTGGTATGTAAGGCATTTCACAGCATCATCACATACCTACATTTCTCACCCACTGTATCCTGTACTGATCATTATCATTCTTCAGACATCCCAAATTCACCAATTGAATGTTCTTTCTTTG